AGCACGACCCGAGTGAGCGGATGGCCCGGTGGACAGCGGCGTGCTGCCCTCGCCGCGACGCCATCACAGGTGCCTGTTCTGTCACACCCGCCTCGGGCACGTGCGTGCCTGAGCACTGCGTGAGGCCACCTGCCCCAGCCCATCTGCGGGCCCCCATCACGGCTGACGGGCGAGGACGCAGGCGCCCGCTTTGGGACGGGGTCAGCAGCCCCGTGGAGCCCACACCCTTATCTTCCCATCCACAGAGCAGAAGCTGCGTGAATGCCCCCCAGAAGCCTGGGCGCGGACGCCCTGCTGGGAACCCTGGGGGAGGGGGGGTCGCGGGCCTCCCTCAAGAAACCCGCGTTCCGCTCAGCGCTCCGGGAGGAGGGTCGTGTGGGCGCTCGGCCGCCACGGTCACCGGCTCGCAAATGACCACAAAGACAAGAGAAGCCAAAGACTCACTGCAAACAGCCCGTGGCGGGAGGAGTTCCTCCCCGTTTTTACAAACGGTCCCTTCCCATCCAGGCGCCTTTCAAGCTTGTGTTCCAGGATTTTTGCTCAAAACCTTCTGGCTAAGAAGTGGGCTGGGCCCTGGCCGGCGTGGCTCAGCGGACAGAGCGTCGGCCTGCAGACTGAAGGGTCCCGGGTTCGATTCCAGTCGGGGCACAGGCCCGGGTTGGAGGCTCAATCCCCAGTCGGGGGCGTGCAGGAGGCAGCCGAGCCACGATCCCTCTCATCATGGATGTTTCTCTTTCCCCGTCTCCCTTCCTCTCTCTGAAGTCAGGGGAAGGGGGCCTGAACCTCACGCTGTCCGTGCACGGGTGTGAGAAGGGCGGCACTTACTCAACGGCCAGGTTTGCAAACAAAGAACAAAGGCCCTCCCGTCCCGCACGCCTGTCACACGCCAGAGTCTGCGGCGAGGAGGCGTCCCCAGGCGAGCGGGAGCTTCTATTACCGGGCTGAGTAAATTAAACTTAATGAGTCTGTAACTATCGGAACAGTTTAATTAATTCTCCACAGGGGGCCCGGCATGAACGCGTCACGTGGCCGCTCCGATGCCCCCCTTAAACACGTCTGTGTGAGCCCAGCCCCCGACTCTCAGAGCCTGAAAGGAAAAGGGCCAGGACTGTTGTCCCCTCGGGGGCGGGTGCACCGTCTGCCGCTTCATTCAAAAGCCTGTGTCTCCCGAGGGAAGAGGAAGAGCCGTTTGCACGTCACCCATGTTTCCGGTGGGACCCCCCCTTGACCCGCTCAGCACACAGGGACCCGCGGCTACCCACCGCCTTCTTCTTAATCTTAGCCGCTTTCTGCATCCTCTGGCAGCGTGGGGAGGAGACAGGAGGCGCAGAGTTAGAGCGTGTCGGGGTCCACACCCCAGCGCTCGGACCTCCTGCCCAGGGGACGGGGAGCGGCCACCCCCAGTGGGCACAGGGCCCGAGGGCGAGGCTGAGGAGGGCACAGCAGGCAGGGCCCGC